GTATTTCTAAAAGGGATTTAATATGGGATTCATGAAGTATTTCTCACAGGATTTAAAAGATGCTTTCTTATAGGATTCTTATATAATTTTTTATAGGATTTATCATCGGATATTCATATAATTTCTAAACAGATTTAACACAAGATATTTATAGAATAACTCACCGGAAACTTTTTTTTAGTATTTTAGCGTATGTTTTCCTCGTAGGATGTGTACAGATCTGCTGAAGAATGTGGGAGGATAACAAATCACAGGGTGGCGGCATATTACGCAGAAGCTTCTTGTTGCTGATAATAAAAAATATTGTACACTCCCGGATGTTCAAAGGGAATTCTGTGTTCGTATCTCATCCACGGTAGAGTCTCAGTGCAATTTCGGTCCCATTTTTAGCCCCTACTTGTGTGTTAATTTTCAGTGAGGATCTTGTTATGGTGAATTCATTATTTGTGTCGTAAATTTAAATAGGTTATTTTGTTGTTGTTTTTGTACGTGTATTAGCCACAATTTAGGTAAATTTTTGTATCACCTGATGATTAAACACCTTGACGTTATCTCATTTATGATGTGATGTTATGTTATGTTATGTTATGTTATGATAGATTAGGTTATTTTATGTTATGTTAAGGTAGGATGAATTAGAATAGGTTAAGTTAGGTTATGTTAGGTTAGACTGGGTTAGGATAACCTTATCTAAACTAACCAAACGCTAACCCAACCTAATCTGACCTAACCTAACCTAACCTAACCAAAACTTACCTTGTACCGGCAACCTGAAGACAGAGGAACCACAGGTGTTACTCATACCTGAAAAAGGAGACATCAAAATAATAAGTAAAACATGTTAAGTAATAAATAAAAACAAAGTAAAGAAAGTAACTAAAAATAAATAAAATTAATAAAACAAAAATATATAAAGTAATTAAAACAACAAATAAATCTGTTAAATAAAAAACAAAATAAAACAATAAAACTGGATCACATGAAATGGTGTACTTAGACTCGATGTGTGTAATAATAATAATAATAATAATTAACGGTTTATTGAAAGAGCTTGGCAGCCAGAAGGCTGAAAATATACAGTTACATATTTGGGGAATGGGTTACGAATTACAAATAATATACAAGTGACATAAGTGACACAAATAAGACATATAGTAACTTAGATGGGGATCAGCTCAAACTACAGTTCATTTCAACATAGTGACAGTGTAGGGAGCAGTGTTTACTGGGAGTGAATACACTGATTTATTACATGTTATTGATAATTTTTACAATGGCTGGGACTGGGCTGTTCTTATAGCGATCAGTTCGTGCACGTATGGGCTGGATGCGGTTGTGGTGTCGAACAGCAATTCTCGGACAGGGGATCTCAGGTGGTAGTAGGGGCCGGTGTCGGGGGTGGTGTAGAAGCTTCCTACCAAATTTGCAGATGAGGCCGTGGTGATGGTCAGTAAGAGTCGAAAGGGTCAGTGTGTTGAGCGCTTCTTGATATGTGGAGTAGGAAGGGGAGAGAATAATCTTGCATGCCCTCTTTTGCACTTTTTCTAGGTGTTTACGTTGTGTGGCATTTAGGGAGGAAGACCAGGTGGGGAGGCATAGGTGAGCTTGGGAAGTATGAATGTTGTGTATACACTGAGGAGCTCGTGTGCAGGAACTCCGAGGGACTTGAGTCGCAGGGAGGAGGTGGAGACGGAAACTGGAGGATTGACAACTTTACCGACGTGTGGTTTCCAATTTAGTTTGTTGGGTTTGGTATGTGTGTGTGTGTGTGTGTGTGTGTGTGTGTGTGTGTGTGTGTGTGTTGAAATGTCATAAATAATTCAAATTGTCATAAGTCACAAAGAAAGTTATTATGTATATATTTTTGCTATTATTTACCCGTCAAACATGGGAAATAGATTATTCCTCGATGTACCTCACTTCCGGTGGTGTAAGGTGGGAATGCGTGAGGTAATATCCCAGCAGTGAGAGTCTACGTCCCAGCAGTGAGAGCTAATTCCCAGCAGTGAGAGTTTACTTCCCTGCAGTGAGAGTTTACGTCCCAGCAGTGAGAGTCTACGTCCCAGCAGTGAGAGTCTACGCCCCAACAGTAAGAGTTGGTCTCTTGACGACAACGATGACGGGGGAAAAGACTAACGTGGCCCACCAGGTGGTTTACCGCCAAGTCTTGCCTTGCCTCGTCCTTCTGGGAGTCCTACTCAACAGCCTCTGTGTCCTCGTCCTGACCAGGCCTCGGGTTAGGTCAACTCAGGTCAGCAGGTGAGTTAACATGGTCAGTCAGGTTAGCGGAGTTAACATAGCTCGAGTTGGTGAAAATTCCCGCAGGCTAGAAGTAACCTTTACCTTCTACTGAGGTTCCCCTGCACACAGGCTGACCACTGAGGTTCCCCTGCAGATAGGCTGGCCACTATGGTTTCACTACAGGCTGGCTGACCACTATGGTTGTCCTCCAGGCTTGCTGACCACTAAAGAGTGTCTCCTTCTGCAGGTACTTCCTCGTGCTGGTGGTGTCTGACTTGTTGGTGTGTTTCTTCTATATCCCCATCATCACCACCATCAACGGCTGCACCTTCTCCTCCGACGCCGAGGCCTTCTACTTCGCCCACTTCGGCTGGACCTTAGTCTTATTAAGTCAATCGGTCGGCACCTACACCATCCTGTGGCTCGCCCTCGACCGCTTCATGGCAGTGTGGACGCCCCTGCTTTACCCGAGGGTACAGAAGAAGCCAAACTTTATGTTGGTGAGGATGGTGGTAACGGTGGTGGCGTGCATCATGATCCACCTGATGTATATTGTTAGAGGTGAGGTCATCTGCTCCACCAATACCATCACCTGTTCTAACGACACCTCGAATACCACTGATTGTTATAACTCTTCATTACACAGAAACAATTATACCAACAACAACTGGGTTGTGTCAAGTGGGTTCCAACATGACTACTCAGAGTATTGGCACAAAGTCTACCGCAACTTCTACTCGTTGATGGTGATGTGTCTGCCCAGCTGCCTCATGGCGGTCTTCAACATAGGTCTGGTGGTCGGAGTGATGGACGGCCGTGTCAGATTGCCTGCTGCTACTCAGGGAGAAGCGAGGAGGGATGAGAGGGCCCTGGTCACCACCATGATCGCCATGACTGCTTCCTATGTCTTATTAATCCTCCCCATCACCGTGTACCTGATAAGCTATGCCAAACCTCTCCACAACCGCTGCCACTGTGACTACTCATACGAGCTCTTCCGTCACCTGGGAAACTGTCTCCAGTTACTCGAACACGTCATTCATATAGTGTTTCTGACGGCACTTAACCGTGAGTTCAGGCAGGAACTCAAAATTATTTTTTGGGGTAAAAAGGAAGAGGGGGACCAGAGTCAGAGAGAGGGCGAAGATGCTGGTGTTGACACCCACGGAGAAAAACCACAGCGGCAAGTACTCAACCATTTCCTCTCAAACCATACTCTGTCGAACCTAACCTAAACAACAGAAACACACCTCACCGTTCATACATCGCTAATACCAATAAGTCTCGACACCTACCGTATAGACACCATACCATAGCAGTGGAAAGAAAATTAGAGGACTTAACACGGCAGAAAAGAAAACAAAATATTGGAAAACTTAACACAGCAGATAAGAGAAGATCAGATGTCTTAACATAGCACAGAAGAGAAAATTGGAAGATTAAGCACTGCAGACAAGAGATGATTAGAAGACTTAACACAGAAGAGAAGTGAAGATAAAAATGACTTAACACAGCGTCTTATCACCAGCCTTCAAACACAAGTCTTAAGGATTTTACAACATATTTTTGTTCGACATTCTTTTTTCACTACTTTGCCTTTTTATTGTCTTCTATCTCTCTCTCTCTTTGTTTGTCTATCTTCTCTTATTATATATATATATATATATATATATATATATATATATATATATATATATATATATATATATATATATATATATATATATATATATATATATATATATATATATATATATATATATATATATATATATATATATATATATATATATATTATATCTTTGACATGGGGTTGAAACAACGGAGCACTAGCTGCCTCCTGAAGATGTCTTGAATAAAGACGAAAGCTAAGGTAATTCGTTGTTTCCATTTTCCCGTGTGATTTATCAAGATTTATCTTATCCACGTTTTCATTGTATATATATATATATATATATATATATATATATATATATATATATATATATATATATATATATATATATATATATATATATGAAAATGAATAACACTAATTTCAACACTGTAGTGATGGTTTGTCAGACCACAGCTTACATCTGAGAAACTCCAGTCTGACCGGACATTAGCCGAGGGCAAGTATAGGGTAACTCTGCGGTTGACCAAGGATTGTAAACCAACTAGCTCCCCCTCCCATGTCACACATGTAAGAAGGCACCAGCCGACTCTCTCCCAATATACAATAACCTACACCGCAGAAAGAAGTCCAGACCTGACCTCACAATTAGCCAGGTCACTTGTAACCCTTGGAGCCCAACTCAAGGCCTCTCGTGTTACACGGCCCCACCTGACGACTTCTCCTTACATCTCAGAAACTCCAGTCTGGCCCGACGTTTGGGAAGTCAAGTGTAGGGGAACTCTCACGGTTGCTCTCCCAATATACACATGGCCCCACCTGATGACTTTCCCAGATAGTTCTGAAAAGGTCCAGGCCTGACCGCACATTTGCGGGGTCAAATGTAAAGAGACCCTTCGCCGCCCCCCAGGCCAGCTGAACCTGACGGCTCGCTTCCCAATATATAGGACGTCCTGGTCCTCCCTCGAGGATTGGCAGAGAAGCAGTTGTCTTGTAACAAGGTGGCCAGCTACGACACCACCAGTCCTGCTCCAGCCGAAGTCAGGGGCCGGAGGCAAGTCGCCTCCGGTCAGGACCGAGACTTCCCTCCGGTGTCCCAGCTAAGCAGTCGCCCACCCGACACCAGTGTCCCCGCTAAGCAGTCGCCCTCCCGATACCAGTGTCCCAGCTAAGCAGTCGCCCTCCCGACACCAGTGTTCCAGCTAAGCAGTCTCCCTGCTAGGCCTTCCCTAGGTCACGTGAGTGTTTGTCAGAGCTTTCCATGGGATGAGTTACATACGTGGGAAGTGTATTCATTTCATGTTCGTGTCCGAGAATCAGAGTGTCTAGTAACGTAATATGATGTCCTAGTAACGTAAATATAATGTCCTAGTAACTTCAATAGAAGGTGTTATTAATGTGTCCATGTCATGTTCGTGATTAATAAACAGTTGTAACGAAGCAGTGTTTGAGAAGTCGCCTTTAAGAACGTAATAGATGTGTATTGACGTGTAAGACACGACCAGTGTACGATAAGAGTAAATAACTATCACGGCCACGCTACCAAAGTCTTCCTCTCTTTATACTCCTCTCGCTATAATATTCTACTACTATAACCTCCTAACTTACTTCTTCTAACAAGATCCGTTTCATTACAATGGCGGCAGCGTACTATGTGTAACCCACGCCTTCCTTGTCCCTTGTTATAGGTGACAGCGAACTATACGTAATTCACGCTTCCCTCGTCCCTTGTTATTGGTAACAGTGTACTTAACGTAAACCCATGCCCTCCCTCATTTTAGCCATAACACCTGACTCGTTGTTTGAGTATTGTTCGAAAGTGCGTGATAAGGAGTTCATGCAAGATATAGTTTCATTATATTGGCGACAGCGTACTATATGTAACTCACGCCCTCCTTGTCTCTTGTTATAGGTGACAGCGAACTATATATGTAATTCACGCCTCCCTCGCTTAGTTATTATAATGGTAGCAGCGAACTTAACGTAAACTCACGCCTTCCCTCGGTTAGCCATAACACCTGGCTCGTTTCATCCTTCATTTGTTTCAGTCTAAGTTTGTCTACAATTGTGTAATAAGTAATTCCCGTGTCGTAGCGTGAAAAGTGGCCTAGTGTGTCACCGCTACAGCTCAAGTAAATGTCTCTCGTCGTGGTATGCGCGAATTTTTTTTTTCTAGAAATATGTTCAGTGCTTAATATAATTTCTCAGTGTTCCCCGCGTTCTGTGAAGTTCTCAGTATCCCAAGTGCATTTTAATTGTCGGTCAGTGTTAAATGTACCCATTGTGTTTTAGCGATAGAAGCGGTGTCTGTACTAACTATTATAACTTAACATGTCTTTTAACCTACATCCTCCTCCCTGTCCTAACCCTCACCTCACCCTCCGTACCCATCCGTTCCCGCCTCGCTCCGCCCTGCCCTGCCCTACCCCGCTCCGCTCCGCTCCGCCCCGCCCTGCCCCGCCCCGCGCCCCGCCCCGCGCCCCGTCCCGCGCCCCGTCCCGGTTACGCCACTCAACACCTCAGGCCTTCCCTAGGTCACGCGCGCATCATGGCCGAATGTTTCCCGCCCCACCCGCCCGTGTGACCACCAATGTTTTGTCCTGTGAGTTATGCTTCGAAATTGGTGGTTAGTGTTACTTAATATTGCGATAATTACAGAGCTTCACTCAGAGTGGTTTTATGCTAGTATGATTTGTAATGTACTCTTTGACGCGTAGTGATAAATAATATTCAATGTAGTGAGCAGAGCTTCACTCCCCGACCCAGCCTAATGAGAAAATTGTCGTGACGGAAATAATAGCTACCAAACATTGACGTAACTTATAAAGTAAATATTTGTTTCTTTTTGCGAATGCACTTCCAACTAATCCATCATCCCTTTAGGATTGTTTCTGTCAAATATCACACACAGTACCGCCCCATGGCTAGCCGGAATCCGTCCACAGCACATATACGAAGAGAAGAAGCAGCGTGAGGAATGCAGCACCACACCCGCCACGCACCACCCCACTTCTTTCAAGTCCTACCTGGTCTAGGATTAAGAAGAGTTTATATTTTTCTACTAGGAAGTTAAGGAGTGTGGAATGAAGTGCCACACAACGAACCCTGGTGAGCCCAGCCAGGGAGGGATTCACCACTGTGGAAGGTGTAAGACAGGACGGTCTTTGGTCTCGCCGACACTCACGTACGGAGGGCGAGGCCTGGTCCGCGGAACCTGCCTTACGAGTTATCTAATGAGACGACAGCCCAAACAGTGGACCGGCTTCATCCCGGCCGGAGAGGGCCGGCGGCAGATGAACAGAAAATCGTCTGGAATATGTTGAAAACGAAGATGTATAAAGAAATACAGATGGAGCAGAAAAATTCATCTGGAATATGACGGAAAACGAAGATGTATAAAGAAACGCAGACGAGCAGAAAAATCGTCTGGAATATGAAAATGCTCTAAACGTAGAGGAAGCGCAGGTGAACAGAAAAATCATCTGGAATATTATAGAAACCAGGAGGAAGTGTGAAGAAGTCAGATGTGGTGACACGACCTACAAAGTGCGGTATTGAAGAAGGAAAAACGTGCTATGTGAAGACAGAAGAGACGCTGTGCTGACATCAGAAGAAAGTCGACGATGAAAAGGTGGATAATCAGAAGGACCAATCGACTACCGTTGTTGTGCTGCCAGCATTCCTTATTTTCAGATACCAGCTGGATGGAGGACTTGAGCCATGCTGGACCCAACAAATGTACTGATGTTGTTGATGTTGCTGATGTGTAATAAAAAGATATAACACCCTAACATGTTAAGCAGGAGCATTTTGTATGAAGTATTTCATTCTCTGATTTTTGTTAACATGTACTACAAAGAATGTTTTTTAAAAAAGATTAGTCACTTTTTCTATGAGTTCATTTGATCAATGTTTTGCACTACGAAACACAATGTTGTAGCCATTTACTGACTGAGATGAATTATTATTTTGACACGGCCTGGTTAGGCAATGTAACACCTGTTTTTGTTTGTAGAATGTGATTTGCAAGTTTGCCTCGGACACTATGCTAGATATGAAGGATCTTTAGATCACTCTATGTTCAATTACTGTGTATGTATTTTATTTTTTTCTCCTGTCATAGAAGCTTTAATCTTGGCGGGAGGTATAGTAAGCTTTGTCAGATCAAACTATGCCAGTAGAAAAACATACATCTCTAGGGTTATTATTTGTAAAATGTAAGGATGCATTATCGCCTGAGGGACTATATTAGATACTGCACATGATGTTACTGTCTACTTTAAATGTATCATCAGTTCTCTTAGCATGAAAGCTTTGGTCTTGGCGGGAGGTGTAGTGATGGTTTGTCAGACCACAGCTTACATCTGAGAAACTCCAGTCTGACCGGACATTAGCCGAGGGCAAGTATAGGGTAACTCTGCGGTTGACCAAGGATTGTAAACCAACTAGCTCCCCCTCCCATGTCACACATGTAAGAAGGCACCAGCCGACTCTCTCCCAATATACAATAACCTACACCGCAGAAAGAAGTCCAGACCTGACCTCACAATTAGCCAGGTCACTTGTAACCCT